CTACTCTTTTGAATAAAAACCCAGAGGTGGAATTGCTGGATTATATCGTAGTTCTGTTTTTAAATTTTTGAAGAATCTCCATACTGTTTTCCATAGTGGTTGCACCATTTTACAATCCCACCAACAGTATACAAGGGGTTCAGTTTCAAAGTTATGTGTTTTTATCTTGCATTTATTTGACGACTAATGATGTTGAGTTCTTGTTCATGTTTTTGGCTATTTAGATCTCAGTTTTTATGAGGTGGCTGTTCTGGTCTTTTGCCCATTTTTCCAGAGAGTTCCAGAGTTGCCCATTGTCAGTGAGTTCTTTATAAATTCTAGATTTGAGCTCTTTATTTAAAGGCTATATTTATTGCAAGTCTCTTCTACACTAGGGCTTCTTATTAACTTCTTACTAGTGTCATTTGATTAACAGAAGTTCATATTTTCTAATGTAGTTCAGTTTATCTTTCCTTTACGGTTAGTGTGTGTGTCTCTTGTCTAAGAACTCTAATCTACTTTAAGATCATGAAATATATTTGTTTTCTAGAATAATTTATCTTTTATACTTAGATCTACAGTCCACTTGGAATTGACATTCATATATGGTATGAACAGGACATCAAATTTCTCTTTTTTTCCCCACAAATATCTAATTAATCCAGCATCATTTACTGAAAAGACCACTATTTCAGTTCCATTTTCATTATAAGCGAGGTGGCCATTTATGTGCGGGCCTGTTACTGAACTCTTTATGTTGTTCTGTTGACATGTCCATTGTTGTGCCAATATCACACTGTCATAACTGCTGTGGCTTTACAGTAAGTCTTGACATTCAGGGTAAGCCCTTCCATTTCAAGACAGTCTTTGCAGTCTCACTCTGATCCTTTGCATTTCCATATTATAATGTAGAATGTTTATTTTTACCAAAACATTGTAGGGATTATAACCAGGAGTGCACTGAATCTATAGATCAATTTGAGAAGAACTGGCATTTTTACAACAATGAGTATTCCAATCTATCAAA